GTAGTGATACTGCCTCGGAAACCCAAGGAGGGGTCGCTATGAGTCGGGGCCGACTCGATGGCAAACAACAACAACAACAACATTTATACAGGCAGTCCCCAGGTATGAACAAGGCCCATTTCTAACTGTGTCCTTAGGAATGTGTAGGTGAGTCAGAACAGGTGCATATGGTTCTTATTATATAGTGGTTAAAGCATTTGGCTGCTACCAAAATGTCAGCAGTGCAAACCCATCAGTTATTCCTTGGGAGAAATATGACACAGTTTGCTTATGTAAAAATTTGCAGCCCTAGAAACCCTGTGGGACAGTTCTACTCTGTCCTATAGGGTTACTATGAATTGGAATCTACTCCATGGCAGAGATTTGGTTTGGTTTTTTTTTTTAGTGCAAGAAAAGGGTGGTGAAGCCTTTTCAATGATTTAAAGATGCACATGCAGCAAATGAAGGTGATTGTGTTAAAGAATTTCTTGTGAGGAGGAGTGGTTCAGTTGTTTCAAAGTGAGAGCAAATTTATATAACATTAAAGGGCAAGTAAGAGTTGTCCCTAAGTTCAACGTCTGTAACCTGGAGACTACCTGTACTCCAATCTGTCATGTCCTGTGCATCGCCTGTAGAAGCACTTTAATCCTCCTCTTGATCAATCCTATCTTTATGGCTTCCAACCACTTAAACCACATAAGAACACATTCTGGCTCTATATCTAGACCAATGCTGCTTCATAGCTTTGGTCAATTTTTCCTTTATCCCAAGACTTGGCAGCAGTAGCCAGACACTCCTGTAACTTCCCTCAGGCCATCTGTGCACTGTAGCTGCTGTTGGCTGTGGTGCGCACAGATACTGTGGGCTGCACTTGCTCAGAGGCATTCGAGTGCCACGCTTAGCTCCAGGTTTGCAAGAACAGATCTCTCTGCTGCCAAGATGCTGCATTCCAGTGAAGCCAGTTCATCACATTGACTTGATCACTATACCAGGAACACACTTGACCATGAATACCCCTGGCTTCACCTCTACCACTAGCAATGCAGAGAAAAAAGAAGGAAAAACAGGGATTTTTCCGAGTGAGTCTCTTGAGAAAAAGATTTTTTTAAAAAATGGTTTCATCTAGTTTAAAGTCAATATGAACTTAATAGCATTTAGAATTCTAAATTTATTCTTTTGTGTGTGTGTTTGTGTGTGTGTGCTTTAGGTGCAAGTTTACAGAGCTGACTTTGTTTTACATTCAACATTACATGTACATTTAGTTTCACTCCCCATTTACCATCCCCAAGCCGAACCCAGTCTCCTCCCCTCCCTGCCCAGTAACCCCCACTCCCACCCACCCCAACCCCGTACACCTCATAGTTATACACTCCTGTGTGTCCTGCTTATATTGCCCCTCTGGTGCACCCTGGTCTATTGCTCCAAGGGGGGGTGCATTTCCATAGAGTATGTGGGTGTGTCACCCTGAGTAGAGTGATTTGCATGTACATCTTATTAACAATTGGGCTGAGAGCCAGCTCCTGGGAGTGAGCTTTATTTGAGGCCCAGAATGTATTCCAGGACCATAGTATTGGGGGACTCATCAGACTCCATAAGACCAGTAATTCTGGTCATTATAGAGTTTTTGGATTTTGTTCCATGTTTTCCTCACACTCTATCCAGGATCTCCAGATTTGATCCTTTCCTGAGTGGTTGGCATTGGTAGCCAGGCACCATCTGGTTCTTCTGGTCTAGAGTGCCATCGTGTCCTAGAGCTGATTGCTTCCAAATACCTTTGTTTTCTTTGCACTCTTGTTTGCCTCCAGTGATAGGAAACCATTAGCTGCATCTTAGATGTCCGCTTGAAAGCTTTTAAGACCCCAGTCGCTACTCATCAGTGTAAGATGAGGAACAAGACTTTTATGGATTTTGTTGTGCCAATTGAGTCTGGTGTCCCCCAGTACTATGGTCCTGAGTCTATAGATATGTTGGATCTCTCTCCCACAGTGTCTGGGTGTCTGTGAGGGATTACTTTATGTCTGTCTTATGTTGTTTCTGTAAGAATTGCTGGTATTTTGCATCACTGGTATCTGTGCAAGATTTAGCCTCCGCTGAATCTATTCTTGGTCTAGAGTATACTCCTGTTCACTGACCCCCATCTGATATTCTCAGATGTTTATGTGTTTATCTGTAGCCTGGTGGTTAGTGTTAATGGTAATGCAGTATTGTGGATATACTGGTATTAGCCTCTGTCATCTATATGTTATGTGCACAATTCAGTGTCCTCCCTTTCCCCAATGCTATCATGGTGGTCACAGACTCTTTCCATACCATCCTTTCCCTTACTCATCTCAGCGTGTTGCCCCCAACTAGCCCGGAATTATTCCCTGCCCTTCCTTTCCCACACTGGTAACCTACAAAATGAGTTCCCTCCCTTAAGCAAACCCTTCTTTGTCTTTTTACAGTAATGGGCTCATATAATATGTGTCCTTCTGCAATTGACTTCTTTCACTCAGCATAATGTCCTCCAAGCTCATCCACATTGTGAGATGATTCTCATACCCTTCAATGTTCTTTAATGTAGCATAGTATTCCATTGTGTGAATGTGCCATAATTTGGTTATACATTCATCTGTTGATGGGCATTTAGGTTGTTTCCATCTCTTTGCTAGAGTGAACTGTGCTGTGATGAACATAGGAGTGTATGTGTCTGTTCGTGTGCTGCCTCTCACCTCTTTAGGATATATTCTGGTAATGGAATTGCTAGGTCAAATGGTATTTCTATTTTCAGTTTTTTAAGGAAACGCCATACTGTTTGCCACAATGGTTGTACCATTTTACAGTCCCAACAGCAGTGCACAAGAGTTCCAATCTCTCTGCAGCCTGCCAGCATTTGTTATTTTCCATCCTGTTGATTTGCTATTATTGCTAGGGTTGTTTTGATTTGCATCTAATGACTAAAGATCACAAGCAATTCCTCATGTGTTTATTGGCCACCAGCATATCATCTTTGCTGGAGTGTCTGTTTAAGTCTTTTGCCCATTTTTGAATTGGATTGTTTGTCCGTTGAGGTGTTGCAGTTTTCTATAGATTTTGGAGGTAAATCCTTTGTCACATATGTCATAGGCCAATATTTTCTCCCAATCTGTAGGTTGTCTAAATTTTACCCTTTTGATGAAGGCTTTCAATGCGCATAAGAATTTAATTTTTATAAGGTCCCAGTTATCTAGCTTCTCTTCTATCTCCTGTATATTCTGGGTTATGCTTGATAGTCTATTTATGCCATAAATTAGGGCTCCCAGATTTGCCCCTATTTTATCTTTGATGAATTTTATAGTTTTGGGTTTTACATTTAAGTATTTATCCAGCTCGAATTTGTTTTTGTGTATAGGGTGAGGTATGGGTCTTATTTCATTTTCCTCAAGTGGATATCCAG